GTTGCCTTTTAAAGCAACCGATTAATTACCTCCCAATGTCTTTTCTCCTGTCGCTGACTCATAAACACCACCCCTAGGGTTTATTAATCAGGTAGTTTTATGTTGCAAAATTCTCAAGTCATGGTTCTGACTTTATCAATGGCTTGTCCTTCATCTCTGTCTTCTTTATAGTTGCATTCAGATTTATGAACCCGGAGTCTCAGTATACTGTGTGAGTGATCAGTGGTGAGAATGTTGTTGAATATTTATGTGTTGTCATAATGTGTTGTTGGTGCAGTAAGCAAAAAAGAAAAAAAGGTCAAGCACTATTGAATTGGTGTGTTTAACGAGGACATTGGATGTGTTTGTAGGCCATTGTGAGGTTCAGAGCTTGATTGCTATCATGCATATCTATTCATAACCGTTTTACTAACAGGAAATCAACATAAAGCAAAACATTTCCATACATTTGCAACAGAATATGTATTTGTGTTAAAATACGTAAGGCACTTTGAGTTATGTCGTTTTATTTTTGTTTTTAATCTCTGAATATTATTTTAGAGGCATTAAAATGTCATTTATGTAGCAGTCAGGGATAGGATAACTTTTGCATTCCAGTTTAGCCCTTTAATGCTTTCATTCTGTATGCACTGACCGCCTAACACTGATATGAACAACAGGTTTAACGAGACTTCGATGTAATAACTGACTAAAACGTTCATATTTTGTACAAGAAAGCCTTTGATTTACACTAATGTTTCTTTCATGTTCTAGTTCTGATTATTCTTGAATACTGTGTTAATTGTTAAATAGATGATGAATGGAATTTGTTTTTAATCCAACTTTCATTCTTATTAAAATCTTGCATACATGACTTGTCCAGTTCATCTGACTCTAAAAGTTGAAATGAGTACATTGGAACCACATATTTGGAGAAACCTTGGTATCAGAACAAATACTATCTGCAGAAAACGAGTGTTTTTAAGGGAAGTTAAAATATTTTTAGTGTTTATAAGAGTTTCATAAGGCTTTTTTATTCTGATCTTTTTCTAGTCGCTTGGTTTGGTAGCTTAGGTGTTGAAAACAAAAGTGGGGAAAACATCTTCTAAATGATAGTTTATCTGTTATAGCATTGTTAGCAAGGCTCATACCAAATTTACTAGACCACCCTCGCAATCTGCAGTTCCAAATTGGTCCATCTGGGCAGCAGAGGTGTCAAATAAAGTAAAAATACTTCATTACCTTAAATAGAAATGTTTTCGATCTATACACTTTACTGGAGTAATAATTTTAACTTCTACTCACATTTTTTTGGGGGGCAATTTTCTATCATTTCTACTCCTTGCATTTTAAAAATAGACTTGTTAGTTTTGTTTCATTTAAGCTCATTTTCATTATGGCCTGTTGGTATTAAAACAAATAAACATCAAAATTATTAGTTTAATCCAGACAATTTCTTTGTTATTGGACTCGGTGCTGCACCAACTTGTTTGCCACATACCAAAATATATAGTTTTTCAAGATGATGTACAATTAAATTTCAAACTGTTACCATTAGTTATAAAACCTCAAAAAATTAAGTATAAGGAAGTTATCATCCAGAAATGTTGAAAAAATATCCTTATATATAGAGTAGAGGGTTTAAAGCCTCTATCCTTAACATTTTTCTGTTGCATTACTTTTACTTTTATAAGTAGTTTTAAAAATGGTACTTTTAAATAAGTAAAAAGTTAAGTTGAAATTCTAACTTCTACAAAAGTGTTTTTAAAAATTAGTAATTTTTCTTCTACTTTAGTAATAAATATTAATACTTTTGACACCTCTGCTGGGCAGTGATTTACTTCCTAGGACAAAATGCGACAGATGGTAAACTGCTTTGCACCCACTGCAATAAAGTCTCTAAATAGGGGAGTTTTAAAATTTCTTTGTTATAATCTCTTTTGTTTTTTTTATGAGCTGTTGTTCACTTTGTTAATGTGTATGTATGAAATTACTTACTGCAAAGGAAATTGTTCTGTTGCACGCACAAGCTACCCCAATGTGTTACACCGGTGAACATGAAGGTAACTAATCTAAAATGGATTTTAGCCTTACTACAGATAAAACAAGTTAAAATGGTTTTTTTTGTTTGTTTTTTGTTTGCCGTCCAAATTTCAGTAGCTTGCAATACAAAACAGATCACGTCTTTACAAATATGTTTTCGATAAAAGGTGATTATTGTCTCCTAGAGTGTAACAGCAAAACTGAGGAATCTTGTTTGATCAAGCCAGTTTGAGTTTTTGAATTTCTGTGCTTCATTTTTTGGAGGATATTCTAAATTTTTTTTTCTCTAGAAGAGCCTTTTTATCCCTTAAATACTTGAATTGTATAAACAAATTTTTTTTTTAATATTGATAAAAATTCAACTAGACTACATTATGATTAGTCACTTAACTTTGTGTTATACTTTGTTCGAAATGATCTTTGGTTTACAATTATGTCTCTTTTATGTTGAGTTTTTAGTAATGTGTTTGAGATCTGATCATGCTTATGTATACAGTTTTCAAGTGTGTCAATTGTTAAAAAGCAACTAAATGTTTTTTGTAATTAAAAATTCCATAACATGCTTCGGGATATTAGAATTTTTTAGGGAATTTAGTGAGAGTGTGTATTTTAAAGAACAGTTTTCTTTAAGATAGTTAAAATTAACTATCTTAAAGAATATTTAAGATATCTAAAGAAAACTTTAGAGCATGAAAGCATAAAAAACTTCAAACCACATGACTTGTTGCTGTTCTGATCAAGACTGAAATTTCTATATGGTTTTGGTGAAACATGGTATTATCTGCATCGAGTAAAATATATAGCTAAACTAAATAGTTTTGCAGTAGTTATCTGATGATGCAACTTCGTGTTTTCAAATGCTCAAAGGTAAGTATAAACGCAGTTAGAATTTTAATATTTATGTTGTGAGTTACTGAAAATCCCAATTCTTAAATACAGACCAATTTCAGCACCGTTTTTCAATTTTTGCTTCTATACCATGAAGTTATAATCAAATATGCGTAAAACATGGCGTCATCTGCATAGAGGGAAATTTATAGCTAAAGGATATAATGGTAAGGATATGAACAATTTAGATTTATATAACTGATGTACCACTTTAAGCTTATTTGAAGTGTTCATTTTCTGTCTTATTCGCTGAAAAGTGCTTATATCATGAAATCACTGTCCATTAGGGGATCATTCATGTAGCTTGTGATGTGTTTAAGCTCATCTTTATATTTTGCGCTTTAAAACATGAGTGGATGCTCATTTTCCCTCATGTCCAACAGTTAGTGATCAGTTTTAAGGTTGAATACACAATAATAATGTATTTGCCTATGTTCATTGTTTATTATTAGTAAACTGGAGTTAGTCTATAATGCAACAATGCCTTCTCGATAAAGTGTTCGGTTAAACTAACCCAAGGAGTGAAGGGAAAGATTTGACAACACGGTGCAGCTCTAGCTTGCAAAAATCTAGGAATTTGTTTGAATATGGGCTGGATAGTGGTACAGTAGGTAGCTGCCTTGTAGCAAGAAGGTCTTTCTGTATGGAGTTTGAATGTTCTCCCTGTGCATGCATGGGTTCTCTCTTGGCACTCCGGTTTCCTCCCTCAGCCCAAAAACATGACTGTTAGTTTAACTGGCTTCTCTAAATTGGCCACAGGTTGAGTGTGTGTGTGCATGGTTGTGTCTTTGTGTGTCTCTCTGATGCCCTGCGACAGACTGGCAGCCTGTCCAACGTGCACCCCGCCCCTCGCCCATAGACTGCCAGAGATAGACACCGGCTCCACTGCAACCCTGACAAGGACTAAGCGGGAGAAGATTAACAGATGCATGGATGTTTGGATTACAAAAAAAAGGAAGTGAACCTAAATGAATGCAAATCAAATCAAAATACATTAAACACTGACTGGTGTTCGAAAGCAAGCGTCTTTGTTGTTTCTTTAAACAGATACACAAAGAAAAATCTGTGGTCTTACAAAACAAAGCTCAGTCAGTCAACTGTACAAACCACTGAAACAAGTTCCTTCTTCATCAGAGAAAGTTTTAAAAAAGAAAAGATTTGACATGACCACAGATTATAAATTATTGCTTGCCGTATTTAGAAACATTTCTAGAAACTAGTCCATCTGAAAGCTATTCAGGTAGATCTTGATTTAAAAAAGCCATAGTCCTAATTTAATATATATTGTCAAACTAAAAGAAAAGGTGTATTAAAGTGAGCAATGCATTAAAGAGAAAACTTTTTCATTTGAATTATAATTCAAAGCTAAGATATTTTTGTATTAACTTAGCCTTAAAATCTGTAAAGGATGAGAGAACATTGTTGCACAATCTATTTTTATTTTAACATATTTTACAAGTGTACAGTGAGTGTTACTGTAAAGATTTAAATGGAGCCGCCATCACACAGTGCAGAGAATATGTGAGCCTGGGCAGCCTTGCAGAAACAGGATGTGGCTAAGTCGTTTCAGAAGCTCTGAAGTTTAAACTCTTTGCTTTTAGAAGGTTTCAGGTTTGCAGATGCAACAATGAAGATCTCTTTATTTATTTAATCTTGCACCAATTTGATCTTTGGTTCATATGGCATCAATCGACAAGGTGTATTTTGATAGCATTAAAATTGTATGAAGACTTGTTTTCTAAACTTTGTTCACTTTAGAGATGAGTTGTTTGCCCGAAAAAAAAAAATAAATTGAAATCCTAACAGGAAATACACCATTTAATTAAAAAAAAAAAGTATTTCTGCTGTTCCACAAGACTACCTGCACCTGTTTCACTAGTTTGTACAACAACTCTGCCTTGAAAGAAACAAACAAAATCTAAAAAACATGTTCCTCTTTCTATAAATAATTGTGCATTTACATATATTTGCTCTTCACCACACCCTGCTGCAAGTTTCTCTTTAATCTGTGCATGCAATCCTTCCCCAAGTCTCCACCTACCTCCAACACTTCTCAGCTTTTTTTTATTCACCTCATACAATGCATCGCTCCCCCCTTCCTCCCTACTGCTCTCTTCTCATCTGCATACATGCTGTGACTTTTTTCAAACGCACCCTTGCTGATATGTAAGCTAGACCCAGTTGCATTGCAAGTGTTTAGTCTTTCGCGCCGCAAACCGTAGACATATCTTTTCCAGACAACTTTGGTGAGTTTTTTTTTTTTTTTTTAACAGTTTACCATATTGGTGTTTTATCTGATGAATTCACAGTTTTGTATCTGTTCCTTGTTCATGTAGGTCATTTCTTACTATGAAAAAACTGAAATACAAACTACTACTACTCCTACTATTTATTCTAGTATTCATTTATATAGCCTTACTTACTGCTTTGGTTTCCTGAGCTATATATGAATGTTTTGTATCATAGCAGGCTGACTGGGGGTGCACAATTATCACTTTGACAGGAAACCAGCAGCCCTGAGAGCGGTCTGTCGAACTTCCTGTCTTTCAAGTTATTGCAGACAGCACAAAGGGTGAATACAGTACCGACATTGTAAGTAAGTATATTACAGTTTGCTTGTAGTTGTTTTAAAATAATAATAAGCGATTATCCAATTATATTTTACAGTGTGTGATATTTTCCCACAAATAAGCTAATTATACATTCAATTCAATGAATTTGATAAATAAAATAAAAATGTTTTAGCAAAGTAATCACATCGATCAAAATAAGAGTTAAATGGTTATTTGCTTTTCTTATGTCGATGTTTTCTAGGCTATAAAATAAAACACACGGATGGATCGTCTGATGACAAGTTCAGTGTTCCCTTGAAAGTTCCAGGAGTTTTTGACTGCACGGCTCAGCTGAAACAAACACATTTAAGTTTTCTTCTCAATTAACAAAAGGTTTGACGCAAAGGTAATTTATAATTGTAGATTTTACATGCACAACATTATTAATCGTCATTTGTGGCTTATAATGTTCAAATTTTAATCGGTTTCCAATCTAAAAGTGTGCATGATGTGAAAAAACTACAGATTTGTCTTCGCTTCATTGCCGCAGTTAAACATGAGTACGTTTTGACAACAGGATTCAACCAAAGTTAACAGATTGTACCTAAGAGGAGTGCCTGATTAAATAAAAAAAACTCATTCAAAAACATATTTGCACTGTTATAAACTGACTGAGCAGCTCTTGCTCTTGAGCAAGGCAGAAAGCAGGCTTTCTTTTATGGTAAGGTAAATACTAGTCTAACCAAACTAGAAGTTTGTTATAGCTAATGTTACCTGTACTGAAAATCGCTTTGTTTCATTTCCAGACACCAAAGTTACAATTAGCAGAATCTCTCATAAACATTTGAATAATATGGAAGTTTTTTTACTCCAGTTTATGAGGACCAGCATCCTGCAACCTTTAGATCATCCTTGGTCTGACACATCAGAAAAAAAGAAAATGGCTGAATTACCTCCTGAGTATGTGGTCAATTTCACCTGAGTGTTTAGATTCATCTAATTACTTGATTCAGGTGTGTTGGACCAAGGATACATTTAAAGGTTGCATGATACCAGCCATTATGAACTGGAATAGCTGACCTCTATGTTAGCAGATAATTGAGTTCTTGAAGTATTTGTTTGGCAGCAGTTTCTAAAACAAAAATTTCTTTTTTCCTGGACAACATCAGTCCATACAATGAAAAAAATATTGCATGAAATCCAGTTTATGTGTTATTTATTCAAGATTAAAGGTTCCAAATTTAATTATCACCTATTGTGAAAAGGTACATTAATAGTTTAAGCTAAAGCTATGGCTTTAGCTTAAATGATAAACTTAAAGCATAAACTGAACTTAAGCTATGATCATAGCTTAATAATTAAAATACTATATCGTATACATTGGTTTTTTTTTGTTTTATTTTAAATGGTCCAAGTCTTTCACATCTTACTGGTGGTGATTATTTCTATAGCATCTTCTGTTTGGTAATTCCAGATTAATTTATTCCAGAATGATAGGTAATTTTAAATTACCTATCATTCTGAAATTTAAAAAAAGAATTTCACAATTTTATGCACCTTTAAACCCTCATGTTTGCAAATAAATCTAGGCAGAAAACTGAAGTTGGAGGCAGTGCACCATCAATTATCTTCCTGATCCACACACAAACTGGAATTAAATGCATAAAATGTTTCCTGTCAAGCTATGAATTGTAAACCAGAACCATGTAGACATCATGCAATAGTCAATATGCAGCTATAGATTTTTTTAATCACTTTTTAATCACTTTAATCAGCCAGGAATATAATTGATGATGCACTGCCTTCAAGCTCACTTTTGTTTATGATAACTGTCTTCTCTTAAAGTTGCTTAAAGGTGTAAAAAATCTGCTTTGTTCTTGTCCATTCTTAACCTAGATTGAGCGTATGGAACTAACTAACCCAGAGAGCTTTCTACAACTTTTAAGATGTCTGCAGCTTAAAACCTTTATTTAGGACCCAACCTTAAAGATCCTTGTTTTTACATAAAGCAACATTAGACATTTTTATTCATTTAAACCCTTTACAATGTCCCTTTCCCTTCCATTGTGAAAACTAAGACCAAGAATATTTTTCTTTAACTAAACTGTTATTTTTATCTTCATGTCATTTCACGAAATATATTTTTTTTGCAATTGGCTTGATGTTTTTTTTTAATATATATATGTATATATATATACTTAAGGCAAATCATTAGAGAAAATGTGAGATAACATATAAACATATACATTTGATGGTTAATTTCTCATGGAACTAAACAACCAATAAATGTGTTGTCCAAGACTTTTTCTAAAGTTTTTTATCTGAATTTCAAATGTATAACTTTTTCTAAAGCTCTTTTCTCTCTTCACTGCAGGAAAATGACAGTAAGTCCAGCCACTAGAACTGTGGTGGTTCTTTTCGTCACCCTGGTGATCCTAATTGTACTGCTTATTTTCTTGTACAAAAAATTAAACAGGGAGGCAAACAATGAATATACAATCAGAGAAATCGTATACAAGGAGGGTGGGGTCAGGGATCGGGTTAGAGGGGCAGTATTAGCTGTGGAAAGTCATCTTGGCATCCAGCTGTGGCCTGAAGGCAACGATGAAGAGGAAGACATGCAGGACGAGCAGGATGAGGAGAGAGACGTGGAGAATGGAGATGGAGAAGAGAGGAGTGATGGGAGTGATACAGATGGAGAGGATGAACAAGAGGGGGACAGTGGGGATCACAGTGCTGGCTCATTCCCAAAAGAAGGCGATAACTCCAGTGTGAACAGTTCAGAGGCAGGTGAGGAAGATGAGCTCATGGATAGTAAACCAGAGTTAAAGGAGGAGAATAAAATTGAGGAAAAGCAGGAAAAAGAGGTAAAAGAAGAAGGTAAAGCAGAAGCAAGCGGTGGGACTGGATTGTTGATCGACCTGAAGCAGTTTTCTGGTAGTGCTATTTGGTCAGAAGAGGACGGAGGTGAGGGCCGGGCTAGTGATGTGACAGCACTGTAAAACGACAAGTAAAACTGGGAGGGACAGAAAACTTTTTAATAAAGAAGACGAGATCACAGATCAAATTAAGACATAGTGAAGCATAGAAATAAAACTAGAAAAACAGCATAAACTTAGTTCAATTCTTCTCATGTTACATATTTTATCTTAATGCCGTGATGGCTGAATAAAGCTGTTATATATATCCAATTGGATGTTCCTTGTAAAGATTGTGTAAAGTTTGTCATCTGTGACTTTGAAATGTTTTTTAATGCTTTAAATGTTTTCTGCAAACTTAATAGAAATCTAAAGTCAGAGAATATTGTATTTCTATTTTCTCACTGTTGTTTGCTGTAATGTGTAAACGTAATGTCTTCAGTTCAGTTTTTAAAGCGGAAATGAAAATAAATACATTAAGCTTTTCTATGTAAACTAATTAAGAAAATGTACTTAAAGATTATATCACTTCTCTTATAAGGGATTGTAGAACAGTGAAAAACTGCTAAAAAAAAGGTAACCAATTTAACAATATATGTTAAAGATTTTTTTTTTTTGTTTCTGTATCATCAGGGAGTAACATTTTAAAACAAAACAACATGTCCAACAACTGGCTGCATAACATGCAGCGTTCAACGTTATTTTTTGCTACAACATAAACCAAACCACAAATGTAACTTTGTGTTCCCATTCCATAATTGTTGAATAAAATGTTGAAAAGATTTAAAACATTTCTATTTATTTTTATCTTTTTTTTTTTTTTTTTTTTTTTACAAGTTATCAAAACATATTTATATATCCGAACAAGGTTCCCCTTTTGTGATAAAAACAACATATTAACGCGACATCAACATGATAGATGATGAATGCCGAAGATTCAGAGGCGTGCTGCACTGGGGATGTAGCTCAGTGGTAGAGCGCATGCTTCGCATGTATGAGGTCCCGGGTTCAATCCCCGGCATCTCCACAAATTGTCGTTTTGCTCAATTTTATACCAATCATTACGATTATTTGAAACAATTGTCTGGCAGCAGATAAAATCCACAAACTTCTCCCGTTCCTGGGCGAAAATGTGCATAAATGCTAGCAATGTTCATAATTCCTATTGGTCAAAGAATCTCTAGCTCGAATCTGATTGGATGCGGTGCAAATATTGGGAAGAAAGCGTTATTATTTTCCGGTGAGGCTAATCAGAAGTAAGATGTTTATTAAAATATAAATTTAACAGATGCTATCAAATTCCTTAACACGTGTGATATGTCGGCAGTTCCTCTAAACAGTGAGCGCAGCATCGGAAAAAAATCAGCATAAACTACATGAACATAAAAGCTTTCAAAGTCCCAATCAGAGTATAATGTAACAAATATATAATGTTTGCTGCATCACTGTGAGCGTTCAGTCTGCATCTCCCCTCTCTCACCCGAACTTGACTGCTCCTAAGAAATGATTTCAACAGACGTCACTCATCTGCATAGGGAGTGAGATGCGAGCAGAGCCTGAAATCCTCAGCGCGTCTCTGACAGAAAACAAAAAAACAAAACATTGAACCCGCTGATTGCTGCATACATCAGAAAACGATCATGGAAGGTACTGTTTGCATGCACTGTCATTCATTTGCGCTCAGATCCGCATATTTTAGGCTGCAAGATGGATGCAAACCAGCCGTGCACAGGGATGCACGTAGAGGCGGCTGCAGGTCGCCTATAAACACCCGAAATGTTTACTGTTTTTATATAAGTATAAAGTATACATATATATATGAAGGCTGTTATGTTATTGTTTATTGTGTGTCTGCAGGAGTAGGATGTTACTAGCCTCCGCCGTGGTGGTATGGGAATGGCTGAACGAGCACGGACGCTGGCGGCCGTACAGCCCGGCTGTCTGTCACCACATCGAGGCAGTCATCCGGAGCGACCCGCGCTGTGGTAGCGTGGTCCTCGGCCAGGTGGACACTCGCCTGTCGCCCTACATTATCCATTTACATTCCATGCACCAGTTCCGACAGGACACAGGTGAGGCTGGAGAGGGACTGTGGGTGGATCAGTGGCATGGATGGAGGAGAAAGGCCTTGTTTTTTTTTCTATCCAGTTTTCTCTGGGTGGATTTTCTTGCAAGGATTGATGACTTGTTGCTGTTGTTTTCATTGAATACATAAATTGCATTTTTTTTTCTTTGCTCTAATACAACCTTCTTCGAAATAACCTACTATTTACATCTGGGGCCCATATGTGAAAACTAGCTTAGTGTTTTGATCTGCATGTTATTTAAAAATCCTACCTGGAATTATGTCCTGCACAGAGGCGTAGCCAGATATTTTTTATAATGGGTGGCCGAAAGCGGATAGGCCCCAGAACCTCAGGGTCAATTTACACTATTACATCCATCCATCCATTCATCCATCCATCCATCCATCCATCCATCCATCCATCCATCCATCCATCCATCCATCCATCCATTTTCTAACACTAGAGGCCTGCGCGGGACACATTTTCCAGTCCCGCAGCGTTCAGTCCCGCTCCCGCAAAGAATTATGATTTTCAGTCCCGCCCGCACCTGTAATAGTTTGTCCCGCTCCCGCCCGAAATTCCTGCATGATTCTGACTTTCGCCTACTGCTCAAGGCAATTCGTTTCATTAGTTTGAGGAATTAAACCCGCAGTGCTTCGCTGAGGACATTACTGGCTGATTCTTCACCGCATAGTGCATGACAAGCGTAAGGTGGTGCTTCACAGCAATACCCAACTAATCTACCAAAATCTACTACTAATCTAATATACTGTGCATAATCTTATATGCCACTTATCATCACGTTCACGTATGAAATAAAAATATAATAAGTTTTAATTAATAATTTTAAACACCGTATGATGGAGCCCCACCCAGCCCATTGTGATGTATATATATGATAGACATAGGCTGATAATTATGACTTTATTTTACATGACTTTTACTTTACAACACGTTTTTAGTTTTAGGACTGCCGCTTTATCACCGCTCCCGGTGATAAGTGGGGTCGCGAGGGGTGCTGGTGCCTATCTCCAGCTGTCTACGGGCGAGAGGCGGGGTCCACCCTGGACAGGTTGCCAGTCCATCGCAGTGTAACACAGAGCCAAACAACCACCCACGCACGCATGCACACACTCACACCTAAGGAGAATTTAGAGAAGGCAATTAACCTAACAGTCATGTTTTTGGACTGTGGGAGGAAACCGGAGTACCCTGAGAAAACCCACATATGCTCAGGGAGAACATGCAAACTCCATGCAGAAAGACCCCGGGCCGGGAACTAAACCCAGAACCTTCTTGCTGCATAGTAGTAGTGCTACCCACTGCTCCACTGAGCAGCCCCCAATTTACATTATTGCAACAGGAAAATTAACAAGCACAACATCCATATTTCCTACAGCCTTTGCTAACAAATAGACGCAAATATAAAAAAAAAAAAAAATCTGTGCTTTCTAGATAAATGGTATAGTGGATACAATTTTTTCAGGTTTTGAGTTCTGGTGCAAACATCTCTTACTTTGTCATTGCTTACCTACTTTTATCAACAATTCTGCATAAAATTGATATTTACAAGTACTAATATATACATAAATTAATGATTAAGGTTTTATTAAAATATTTATCTATGATTTCACTGAAGACTCCTAGGTGGCTTTCAGAGAAATATTGTTTTCTCTTTACCCCATATAACACAAAATCTAGTTCTGAAAAGAGCATGAAGTTTAATCTTTAATGTTAGTATATTGATGTGCACAATTAACCAATTTGTTTTTGTTGTAAAGTAGTTGTTAATATATGAAAAGTTAAAATAGTTTGAATATTCCACTTGAGAGTATTACTGCTGCCACCATCTGTATTGGGAAAAAAGTAGGGCTGGCCAATAATTAGCTAAGGGTGGCCATGGCCACTCCTGGCCCCCCATCTAGCTCCACCCCTGGCCCTGCGATGGATTGGTGACCTGTCCAGGGTGTACTCCGCCTCTTGCCTGTAGACAGGTGGAGATAAGCAGGGATAAGTGTGATGGAAAAATAGGTGGATGTGGATTTGTTTTTTTCCAGCTTTTTTATTGTGAATTCACAAGCACAGTGCAACGAAATGATCTTTCTTCATTTAACCCATCCCGCTGGGGATGGGTGGGCTGCCATTGTGCGGCGCCCAAGAATCCAAAGTGGCAGTCTGTGGGAGTGGGGCTTAAACTCTGCAATGCCCTATAGCCACTAGACCACACTCCCCCCTACTTATATTTTTATTCTTATGATTGCTGATCAGTTGTCTGTACTTTACTATTCTCAGTCAGATTCAGTCTGACCGGAGCACTTTGAGTCAGGAACTATGTCGAAATATGTGAGCCCAGACTGTATAAACTAAATCCTCATGCTCATACATATACATGGTTTGTTGTTGTTTTTGTTTTTTTTAATTGGGGGGGTATTAAACTGTGTTTAAGAGAGACAGTGATGAAATATAACTGAACTTCTCCCAAAGATGTATTTAATTTTTTTTTTCTAATCTTTTGCAGAGATTAAAATATTAAAATCTCTCCTTTGACACTGGCTGACAAAGACCTTTTTGTACTTTTCCAGCCCACAATAGAGATTCTCATTGTGCCCTAAACTTAAAGGGTAGAATAAAAATGGAGTTTCAGTACTGACAACAGAATGATAACATATGAACAGATTTTAAAAATGAACTGATGCATACAATACAGTCCGATTCCAATATTGCAAATGATGCGTTCATGTTTTGCTTCTTAGATTAACCAAGCCTACTTATAATATTATAAAATTGTTATACAAAAGGGGCTTAATATTTGTCAAAACAAAAGAGAAAGAAAAAAGGCTCAAATGCATTTGTGATTAAAAAAAACTATTTTGTATTCCTAAACATTTCTACCTCGGAAGCTCACTGGTCTGAAATAAATCAAAGCTCTCAGCCAGTCACAATCCAGAACAGGCCGTGTTGTTACCAGGGGCAAAATGTGTTTGCCCAGATTCAGAGCAAGTAAATAAACTCATGTTGATTTTTGTTACACACTGCTTGTTCAGTCCAAATAGCAATGCAGTAAATAATGTGTACCTCCTGTCATACAACATCATGTTCGTTGCTTAGTAGTCAGGAAAGATGACATCTCTGCAAGGCATAGTTTGGCTCTTTTGAGGTGAGGATGTGTCAAGTAGTCTAGTTATGAGCTGTCTGCATTTAACCTTTAGTGAACATTAATCAGTATGGAAGTTGGGGAGGAATTCTTTTAGAGAAGTGAAACTAACATCTAGTTTCAAGATTGGAGAGTCTTGGACATTTCCAAAGGAAATGCTGGCATTGCATTTCTTGTTCTTAGTTTATCTATGAAAATGCCAATTCTATCAGCTTTCAGGTATTTAGAACCAGGTGAAAAAAGAAAAGATGGTATGTAGTATCCATTCTGCCTATTCTAAATCCTAGTGAATGAAACACTAAAGCTTAGAGAGTTGTGTTTATAATCTAAAGATAGAAAAGAAAAAGAAGTGTTGGTATATTTCATTGTTTTCTTTGAACTGTGAGGTACATTAAAACTTGATTAGAACTCTAAGATAATCTGAACCATCCTCCTAATAGCTATGGAACCTTTGCCTGTGGTTTGTTTGCTCTTCAGGTACCCTTCGACCTGTACGACGTAGCTTCTACGATCCGTCTTCAGCACCGGGCCAAGGTTGGTTGTGGGAGTGGGAGAACGACGCTGGCAGTTGGGTCGCATACGACACAGAGGTGGGCATTGCCATCCAAGCAGCTTGTGACCGCCAGCAGCCCTGGTTGGACCTGGCGCCGCTGGGATTTTGCTATCTGATTGACTTTGAAAGCATGACCCAAATCAATGGGCAGACGCAGCGCTGCCGACGAGTCCAGAGACGTGCCGATCTGGCATACCCGCTGGTGTCCGGACCTTTACCCAAGTCCCATCTTGCATGGGGACCTGCATCCATACCTGGCTATGGAGGACTGCTCGGCATTGATGTTTCAGGTGTAGGCATGGGGATGAGGATGAGCAACAGTGGGACTGGAAACGGGAGTGCCTACCCAAGTGGAGCACTTCCTGCTTCAGCCATCACCTCTTTAGGACAACCCTGCGCCTGTCAGCAATGTATGTTGGTGCTAAGTCTCAAAGCAGGAACAATGTCCACTGCCCACACTCTGGGGAGAAGACCACCACAGACTAAGCCACCGAGTCCAAAATTAAGTAGTTACCCCATCCCAGGAAGTTCCTATTCTCTGACCCTCCCCCGACCCCCATCGTTGTCATCGAGATCTCTCTCTCCTCACAGGACTTCTGGACTTGGGGCTACTGGTGGTTACAATGTCAACAGTACAGGAGGGTTGGGTGTTATCGGTGCTGGTGGCGTTGGCAGTAACACCTTTGGGTATGGAAGTAGCTTTACACACTCGTTTTCCCTCCTCGGGCCAGCTACTGCTGCTCTCTCCATCTCCTCAACTCGTCCTCCACCTCCTCCTTTGCCACCTCCTCCTCCACCGCCTCCTCCACCCTCTACAGCTTCCTTTTCGGTCCCCATCCCTCCAACTCAAACCGTAGGCTCCTCCTCCCTCTCCGTTTCGTGTCAGGCCCCATCACAGCCAACCCCCGCCCAATCTCTCATCTCCACGGCCACCTCCACCTGCACACCGTCGCCTTCTGCCCGTGTTCTCGGACCAGTGTCTTCTTCTGGTGCTGCTGCCTGCTCAGCCCCCTTGCCACCAAGGTCTAGCCTCGCCGGCCTGAGTCGTCCTGCCCTGCAGCGTATTGCCATGGCTCAGTCACGCGCACTAATTGCCTCCGGGTGAGTAGAACAACATTCTTTCTAACTGTTTGTTTGGTGTGTTGTTGGTGTGTTTCAGAAAGTTGATTTTTCAGGAACATTTTGCCGAAGATGGGACCATTGGTTTCTCATGAACCAAATATTTTAGCCCTGTTCCTAACAGGTAATTTAGCTTTCCTTTGGCAGCCATGTTTTCCTGTTTAATCCAGGATTTGTTTAGATTGTTAAAGTGTCTTGGTAACTAAATGAAAAGTACCGCATATAAGACAATGTGCCGTGGTGAGCATTGGCGTCAGTTGGTCTGGATAATCTTAGCTCTAGCTCAGGAAGATTTTCATTAAGCCCCAGACATTTCCATTAAGAGAGCCATCCTATGATATTAAATAGGGAAGCATGAGATATAATCATTAATATTGGTATGAAACAATGTTGGTCATTTTGAAGCATATTGGTATTGGTCTGATTGCTGTTTTTGTTTTAGGAAGGGATCGGTCATGTGGTATTTGTTTTGGTGTCTGACAGTGATTGTGAAGCAGCAAAGGATTGTGGGTAATTAGCAGAAAAGTAAAATTAGCAGCACTGTGGTCGGTCTATGTGATTTTTGTAAGTAGCGGCTATTAGCCATTATGGTAATATGAATATCTATATGTCAATATCATCCTAGATTGTCGTACCGCTGCATTCCAAATATTAAAGAAGAAGGAAGTTTCGTAATTTTCCAGTTTTAGTGAATGCAACACAGGAAGGCTACGATCATTCAGAGAAAAAAAACTTTATGCAAGCTGGAACTCCTCTGTGTTCTACTGACAGCTCTGATGTGTTTTTGAGCAGTCACAAAAGTTGACAGGCGTTTCTTAAGTTGCGTCGACTGGCAGGCAGCAGTAGAGAAAAAAGTTATTTAAATCTTGCATGTCTTTGAATTTATGTCCTTTTCCTGAGACTGATATGGTATGGGATATCAAAATTACTTTGGCTATATTAATTGTTGAGTTAACAATCATTTAGTTAATATACTGTAGTACTGTAAGCATTATAATGTGATTCATGTGGGGAAATCTAATGAAAGGAATTAGAGCATCAATGCTCATTTGCGAGCGTTTAATCTTCACGACAGAAATCAGCAGGCTTTTTCATATCCATGGGAAAACAATGTTGGCTGTTCATTTTGAAGAAGCGGAGCTCTTTCTAGTCTTTCCCTCTAATTTGTAATACAAAAGTCTAATATTCATAGTCGGCCTTCTAAGTTCTCACGGTTCACAGTCTGAAAGGAAGCAAAGTCTAAAAACCTGTTTTGGTTGTCTCAAAATTGTTTTGAGACAACTTCTTAAAATATATTTATTTTTCAGAATGTGTCTTATGTTGTTTCTCAGGATCAAAACATTTAGTTAGGAATATATTTGCACAGCACAAGTTTTCAGGGTAATATATCAAACAGTGAGTGAAGTCTGTCTTGATGGGGGTGTTTTCACCATTTAGTCACCATTACTATCATTTCATACCAGTAAACAAAATGTTTTAGATGAATGAATGTTGATTTACCAAAAAAAAGACTGAATTTACTCAAAGGCTGGGTGCAAAGGTTACTCCTACAGTCCATTTTTATTGATTATTACTTGTCTGCTATGTCCCTTGGCAACAACAGATGGTTGTACAACAGTAAGGAGAGCTACCAAAGAGAGCCGCACTAAGCAATGGAAACAAATCATAAGAAACACAGTGTGTTCAAAAACTCTGTATTCTACACAGAGTGGCTGATGCCCTGCTGTTGTAAAAACAATGTAATGATTGTCAGGGAACGGTGTTTGTAGAGGAGGACCCAAATGCAGAGACGAGTTGGCAGAGGTGAATTTTAGTGGTTTAATAAGGTTTA